ATTATTGTATTATTACGCTTTTAGTATTATCAATGATCATTATATAGGACAAATCATCAAAAAATTAATAATGTATAATTCATGCGGAAATGATGTCACCAATCATCCTCAGATGATCGAGTGTGACATGAAAATACATTAGTCAATAGTTTGAAAGTTGAAAAAAAAGCAATGCTGATATATTTTGGTATTAATTATTTAAATTAATTATCAAATATTTTGAAGGAAAAATCTTTGTCGTTTTATTGATTATATGTGTGATTATTAAGTGATTCTAATTAATAGTGATATTTCTTTTATGATTTAAATCAAGTTTACATCTTAGCTATCATTCATTATCACTTTTTTTAACAAAATTATCACTTCATCATAATTATCATCGTTATTTGTTCGATGCATCGATTAATTTTTGTTTTTAAATATTATCTCTTTGCTTATATATGTTTCAATTAGCAATGATGACATATGAATATTAATATATCAATCAATTACTCATATTTAGATCTGATCAAAATTTTCGTAATACACCTCTTGAAAAGATACGACAATATAATCTGTAACCTGAAAACTGTCCAACTTATTGCAACCTACCAAGTTATCTTATATGCATAATATTATTACTGTATGAACGCTAAACAACAATTAAATGCTAACGAATTGGATTCTTATTTTAATGAGTAAATTTTTAATTTTTTTTCCTCTTTTAAATTAATAATCTAACATAGAATAATTTTATCACAGGTGAATGTACTATTTCTTAATTAATTAATTACTTACTAAAATATTTTTATATCTTAGTAACATTAAAAATAAACTTCTTTTCTTGTCTTCTTTTTTTTTAGCTACATCAAACGACGGAATGGACCATCAATGGGTTTAAATGGAATGGGTTCAAAAGTTAGCACAAACAATTCAAATTTAACTATAACAAATAAAAGTTTGAATGGAAATGAAATGAATAATATGAAAGATAATTGTAATGTAATTATGAGACCTAAAAAGGTTAGAAAATATTTTAAATTAAAATATTGCTTAATTAATTTATTGGATTTAGTGAAATTTTAAATTAAATAAATCCTTTGTTTTCAAAAAAATACCAATAGAAGTTTGTCATTTTTTTCTAAAATGAATTAATTTTTGATTTTTTTTTTATTTTATTTAGATGATTTTTGATTTACCAATTATAATACTCAAAAATTTCTACATTTTTAAATTTCTAAAATTTATTAAATGAATTTTAATTTGTTGCTTAATTTTATAATGCTCATATTTTATTTGCAACTAATGCTTAAATTGTTAGCTTCAATTAACCAATGATTAATTGTTTAGTTCCGATAACATTTGCATCAAATTAAAACAAAATTAATTAATTTTTCAGTTAAAAGGATGTTCAGGAAAAGCAACAACAAAAATTGATACGATATCGACCGCTAAGTACAGCTAATTCATATGCTTCATCACTTGGTAACTTATTAAGATTAATTAAATTAATTAATCAATTTTGTCTTTTTTTTTCAAAATTATTTTGAACCAATTAAGAAACTATGTAGTGTTTTGTGACAAGACGAAGTAATTAATTAATTAATTTTATGCAAAAATAATAAACAGCAATTGTATTCATTTAAAGTAAAAAATGGAAATAAAAAACCATTTCTTCTGAAAAAAAAGAGCAACAAATGCAATTAAGAATAAAGGAAGGACGAATGCAAAGGGACTATCCCAAATAATATTAATATTACTAATTAATTACCGATAAAATTATTGTTATTTTGCAAATAATAATAAGATATTATTGAGAATTCTGCAAGAAAAAAGAAAATATTATTTAAATTCGACTTTATTTGGAATCGAATTACAGGTGTAATCAATAATTTAAAGCAAGTAACTTTTAAAACAGTAATATTATATCTTATCGATTTTTTCAGCAAGTGAATAATAATATTATTATAATATTTTTTAATTATTTGAATTTTAGTATTTAAAATGAAAATTGTTTTAAAAATTAATCGAATCTAACCAAAAATTTTTTTCTTTTTTACCTCATTACTTAAGTGGTCTCAATTTGATTTCATTGCGAATTATTTATAATTGAAATTTTCTAAATGTTAATTTAAATTTAGCTTCATCCGGGATGACCGATATTAGATGGCGTAATTCGCATGTTTCACCATGTTCATCATTGTCAACCAGTTGTCAACTTTTCCATGAATCACCTAATATGGTTTGTCATATTATTGTTTTCGAGGAATATTTGAAGAAAATAAATCTTCCCATAATTGAAAATATGACCTATTTAAGCTTAAAGATCAGTTAACAATTTATGTGGTACTTTATTAAAAGCATAATAATTAGCAATTTCAAATTGTTAATTTGAAAATTTGATTGGAGTGAGCAATTAATACTTTAAATTTAGTTATACATATCCTGTTATGAGGGAAAAATTCCACAATTAATCATACTTTTAATTATGATAAAAGTGGAAAATGTCTGCAACGATATGTTTGATTTTTATACATAGAAAAAAACAATTTCGAAAATTGCAATAATAGGTGTAATTAGGGTAAAATGGAAAATTAGCTATCAAATGACAGGTTAATACTGTATATTTTTTTTAAAATTTTTATTCATTTATTTAAATGAATGCACTTGCTTTTTATTTTTCTATTATTATTATTATTATTATTATTTATTATTATTATTATTATT